AAAATCTTTAATAAATGGATAAATAAAAAGAACACTCAGTGAAGAGACAGTGTAAAGGACTTGCAAAGTGGAAGGTGGGTCAGAGGCTTTCTCATTCCGCACTCTTGCCCTTTCAAAGTAACACTGCCACTTTAAAAACCAAAAAGTTTTTAAAAAGGTCATAGATGGGGCGCCTGGGTGGCTCAGTTGGTTAAGCGACTGCCTTCGGCTCAGGTCATGATCCTGGAGTCCCGCATCGAGTCCCGCATCGAGTCCCGGGATCGAGTCCCGCATCGAGTCCCGGGATCGAGTCCCGCATCGAGTCCCGCATCGGCAGGGAGCCTGCTTCTGCCTCTGACCCTCCCCCCTCTCATGTGCTCTCTGTCTCTCATTCTCTCTGTCTCAAATAAATTAAAAAAAAAAAAATCTTAAAAAGGTCATAGAGGGAAAATGTTACCATATATATGGAGAGTAATAATAAGGTAATATAGCAAACATTCATAAGAAGGAGTGCTGCTCGAAAAACAGACTCCCCTCTAGGAGACTAAACACTACTAAGGTTCTCTACTTGACCAAACTCCAGCCAGCCTCCTCTGAGCAATCTACTCCACTAGGCAGGCCTTAGTCTTAGCCTATTAAGACTTGAACAAAACACTAACAATTTCTAACAGTTCAAAGCTCTGTCCTTGGAATGACCCTAGCTACCTTTAAAGTGCCTGTCTGAGAAAACTCAAGGCTGCCAAGACTACTGTTTGTTCCAGCCAACACATCATGATAGAGCCCCTGTCTCATAGCCTCTGTGGGAGGGTAGGAGCCTAACTGAGAAGCACCAGTTACCACCCTTTCTCTCAAGTTTTGTAATCTTTCCCTTCCTGGACTCTACTGGGCCCCTGCTCATCCCCCTCCCTATACCTACATTCTCTTTTCAAAATGCCAGGTCACATCTGTACAAATTGAAGTTAAGTTCAGATTATGCTAGAATCTTCCCTATTGCAATAGTGTATTACCGATTAAGAGCTGGCTTTGCTTATCTTTGATAACACTTAAATCTATAATTCTGCCACTGCTCCATGTTTCTTTTTCTTTTCTGAAACTACCCTGAAAAAATTCCTTTTTGGGGCACCTGGGTGGCTCAGTCATTAAGCGTCTGCCTTCGGCTCAGGTCATGATCCCAGGGTCCTGGGTTCGAGCCCCGCATTGGGCACCCTGCTCGGCGGGAAGCCTGCTTCTCCCTCTCCCACTCCCCCTGCTTGTGTTCCCTCTCTCTCTATGTCTCTCTCTGTCAAATAAATAAAATCTTTAAAAAAAAAAAAAAAGAAAAATTCCTTTTCATACCTTCTTACCGCCTTACATCTCACTTTTTTCATATTCTAAATAAACTAAATAAAATTTATTCCTTGTTAAGCAAGACAGGAAATTTAGAAACAATAAAAGAAAATATAAACATATTTGACTACATAAAACTTAAACATTTTCAGATGGCAAAAGATAGAATTTTAAAAGTTTAAAAAAATAATACGCCAGGGGCGCCTGGGTGGCTCAGATGGTTAAGCGTCTGCCTTCGGCTCAGGTCATGATCTCAGGGTCCTGGGATCGAGTCCCGCATCAGGTTCCCTGCTCAGTGCAGAGCCTGCTTCTCCCTCTCCCTCTGCCACTCCCTCTGCTTGTGCTCTTCTGTCTGTCAAATAAATAAATAAAATCTTAAAAATAATAATAATAATAATAATACGCCAGAAAAATATCTGCCACTAATATGGCAGGCAAGATTGCAGTATATGTTGCAAACATACAAAGAGCTCTGCAAATTGATAAGAGGTAAACAACTCAATATAAATACAGACTATATAAATAGGCAAGTCACAAAAGAGAAAACAAGTGCCAATGCTCAAAAAAACAAAACAAAACATACATGAATGGGAGCATTGGGTAAATGGGAAATCTCTACCTTCCTCTCAATTTTGTTGTAAACCTAAAACTGCTTTGAAAAAATAGTCTTTAAAAAATGAAATACACATGAAGAGATGCTCAATTCTAGTAGTAGTTTAAGCAAAAGTAAATTAAAGATATACCATTTTTCATCTTTCATATTAGCAAAAACTAATAAGACTGACAGCTTAATGCAGGAGAAAATGAGGTGGAATGGATGGGGATCTCTGGAACTGACTTTCAAACATTGTTGTGGGGTGTGAATGACTAAAAACTTTTTAAAAACAATTATCTATTAAGATAGATATATATATAGATATACTGTCTAATCAAAAAATCCCACATTTGGGAATCTATTCTAAAGAAAAAAAGAATAAGGGTGCCTGGGTGGCTCAGTCGTTAAGCGTCTGCCTTTGACTCAGGTCATGATTCCAGGGTCCTGGGATCAAGCCCCGCCTCAGGCTCCCTGCTCCTCGGGAAGCCTGCTTCTCCCTCTCCCACTCCCCCAGCTGTGTTCCCTCTCTCACTGTGTCCCTCTCTGTCAAATAAATAAAAAAATCTTAAAAAAAGAAATAAAAGAATTAGTTATAAGGGTGTATGTACCCAGATGCTTATTGCAAAATTTTTTGTAGTGGAAAAACAAAACAAAAACAGGGGTAACCTAATGTCCATCAATACCATTTATGGTCGTTTATTCAATTTAACAAATACTGTGGCACTTTCATTTTATAGACTATTTTGCAGCTACCAAAAAAACAATAAATTAGATCTGTATTGGTTCAACTGGAAAATATCTATGATGTAAGTTTAAGTGAGAAAAGAAAGTTGCAAAGTAATATCCATGGACTAACCACATTTTTTAAATAAAAATCCCAAGTACTTAATACATTTGCATTTGTATGATTGTAAAATAAGATGTGGAAGCCGACTGACTAATCTTTTTTTTCTAATTTTTTTTAAAGATTTTATTTATTTGTCAGAGAGAGAGAGCACAAGCAGGGGGAGCGGCAGGCAGTGGGAGAAGCAGGCTTCCTGCCGATCAGGGAGCCCGATGTAGGTAGGACTCAATCCCAGGACCCCGGGATCATGACCTGAGCAGAAGGCAAACACTTAACCGACTGAGTCACCCAGGCGTCCCACCTACTGACTTATCTGTTAACATTAATTACGTCAAGAGGGGGAGAATGAAGGAATTAATCTTTTCCTTATTTATCTATATTGTTTCACCTTTTTTTTTTTAAGGATTTTATTTATTTGTCATAGAGAGAGTGCACAAGCAGGGGGAGCAGCAGGCAGAGGGAGAAGCAGAAAGAGGGAGAAGCAGGCTCAATCCCAGGACCCTGGGACCACGACCAGAGCCAAAAGCAGATGCTTAACTGACTGAGCCACCCAGGTGTCCCTATATTGTTTCACTTGTGATAGTGAGTCTGTATTAGTTTTGTAACTTTAAAACTTCAATATATAACATATATGTTAACATATATCATATATATTACAATTATATATTTATATGTATTTTATATATTTATATTTAATATATGTTAATGTAAATAATATATTTATATGATGTTATACAAATATAATATATACATATATTATAATGTAACATATATAACAATTTAAATCATATAACAAAATAAGAAAATTTTCATAAAGGTTTTAAAGCTTAAAAGATACTTGTGCTATATCCATACAATGGAGTTTTATTTGGCAAAAAAAAAGAATGAAATATTGATACATGCTACAACTTGTATGAACCATAAAAGCATAATGCTAAGTGAAAAAAGCCAGTCATAAAGAACCACATATTGTATGATTCCATTTATATGAAATCCCCAGAATAGGCAAATCTATAGAGACAGATGAATATGTAGGAAGTCAGGTGGGATGGGCAATAGAGAGTGACTGCTAATTGGTAAGAATTTCTTTTTTGGAATGATGAAAATGTTGTAAAATTGATTATAGTGATGGTGCAAATCTCTGTGAATAAACTAAAAACCACTGAACTGTACAGTGTATTTTGAAATAGCTTCAAAAAGCTATTTTTAAAAAATTTACCCACTATTAACACTATTAACACTTGTCTTATTCATCCTCCAAAGACTGATATTTGAAATCTTTGAATAAAATTGAAGAACGTGCCCCAGATTCTAAAGACAATTCCACAAATAGAAACCCTAAGGTGTAGTCTGAAGAAACTATTCTAAAGAGGACATCACGTTTTTGGATGTGTACATTCTCCTATGTTTAAAAATATTTCACATAAAAAAATAAAAATATTTGACATAATTTATAAAATGCAACACGAAATGCGTAATGATTACACCGAACCACATTTCAGAGCCCTAATTCTTCCACCCCCTTCGAAGAGGACTGAAATTTATATATCTTCTGACTCAATTAGTTTTAGGATTCTTTGACCGATTTGCATAACTATTTAAATAACTATTTCTTAAATATTTTCCAAAGTGCATTGAGTATACCAAGGAAATGAAAATATCTGAAAAGATTTTCCTGCCTCTCAAAAATCTGGTTACTAAAGACAAATTCTTCTTAATGAACATTAAAGAACAATAACGTAATGGAATAGGAATAGTCCTTCAACTGTATTGGGATGAGAGAAGATAACATCCTTTCTTATATTAATGAAAAATAGCAGATTACAGACTCTTAATAAACTTTATTTTTAAATGAATAAATCCTCACATAGGAACAATGTTTGCTTGCATTTAGTTCTAAAAGGTTTTAGCGAAAACGACAACCGCCAGCGCCGCTGGTGTAGTGGTATCATGCAAGATTCCCATTCTTGCGACCCGGGTTCGATTCCCGGGCGGCGCAGCTTCCTTTTCACTCCCGCCACCTATAAAACGAGGTGATCTGAACAGTTTTAATAAATCTTTCCTCCTCAGGAAACACTCAGAATTTTTAATTTCCGTGAAGATTTCTATTTCATTATAATTCACGGTTAAAACATTCGAATCTGGAGCTGGAAAAGAAAAAACTCCACGCAACTCCTCAAAGAGTTAATTCTTACGCCTGCGCAGTCTGACATATCCTTGGTGTCCGCTTGCAGAGCGGCTGCGCAACAAGTGAACCTATGGATTGAAGGAGGTTGAAAGTGCAGGATTATTCTGCGCCTGCGCGGCCCGGGTCACTTCGCCGGCTGCTCCTAAGCTCCCGGCTCGCCGCCATCTTGTATTGGGGCTTCATTGTTCGCGTTGCGCCGGGCTGTTTAGTGTAATTGCCGCGGAAGGAGGAGGCGGACTCCGGTCAGCCGAGAAACCCCGCTATTCCGCAGCCATAACCGCTCAAAAGATTTGGACGGTAGTAAAGGGTAGGGAGCTGGACCCCGAGGCGCCGGCGCGACAGCAGCAGCCATGGAGGACGAGATGCCCAAGACTCTGTGAGTCTGGGGCAGCGATGAGGGGGGCGGGATGGTGGTCGTCCCGGAGGGAGGCCTCGGCTCGGCGCGCTCCCCAGCCTATTGTTCTCTGTGGACGCCGCGATATCTTGGCTCTTCTCCTTAGCGCACACCTGGATGCTTAGGGACCGAACCCCGGACTGTGAGAGGACAGGTGGAGGGAGAGGGGGCTCAGCCCTCTGAATTAATCCCGTCACCTTAACTACACCATAGCGTGGCCTTTGGCCTCGCCACGGGCCCTCTGTGGTCGTAGGCCTGGAGAAAAGACTTTTTCATTCAAACCTCTTTTCAGAACTCGGTGAACCTTCTTTTTTGTACCATGCTTTCCTTCTGTGTTTTTTCCCGCTCCCCCCCTTCTTGATTAATCTCTTTTTATCTTTATAGCCGTCTCTTTCATTTTACTTTGATTTGCTCCAGAAATTCTTCCTCTTTCTTTCAGTTTTCTTCTCGTTGATAGGAGCTTTTCTCTCGAGGCTGCTTGTGTTCCGTTTTCAGTGAGATAAACTTTATTCTCGCAGTTGCCAACTGGAAAAAAGCTAAATAGTTTTCTTTAACCTCTCTTTGGCTTTCCTTCTGTAGCACCCCTCCCCCCACCAAAACCCCGAAAACCCGACACCGTCAGGATTTTGAAACTGCCTTTTTTTTTTTTAATGGAAATCTCACCCGGAGGTATATATAAATCTCTCAACCGAGGTGAAGTGGATTTAATACATTTTTATCATCGCTTGCTACTTTTGTGATTGACATGTTGCTGAACGAGCGGGCAGTTTTTATGAAGCAACAGTTGATAAATACCTAAACAGATTTAGTCACCTCTGAGAGTTGTTAGTGTTAAATGATCTCAGCTGGGGATTTTTTCTTTGTCGTGGAGCTTCCCCGACAGCATTCTCCTTTGTTTTTCAAAGTATTCTCAGAAGAGGTGATCTTGTCTTTGTTGCTTTTTTCGAAAAGAAGAAAAGGCCTGATGAGTTTTTGACCTTTTGTTTTTATTCTTAGCATACTGGCGATTTGAGAACTCCATGCGTTAAAAATACAATTTTAGGTTTCTTTCTGCAACTTTTTAGATGTTACAGTTGTTACGAAGAAAATGGAATCCATTATTTTTTCACTGAAAAGTGTTTCCGTTTTTAATCTGTGTGAGAAACATAGTCACACTTGTTTCTTAAGAGATTCGTAAATCTCTTTTTGCTAGTTTATCTGATAATCTGTTATCTTGAGTGTCTTTTTAATAGGATGCAAGAATTAGTGGGTGTCCCTTGTTTTTTGAAAGATTATAGATTAATATTCCCTAAAAAATTTAGCCTCATAGGCTTTATGGAAATTATTTTTTCCCCTTGCCTCTTTACTAGAAGTATGACAGCCAGCAGCATATTGGATTAAGCACTGATCATTTTTTATAATGTCTTTAAATTTAAGATTCTTACATGATTGTGAAATTTTTAATTTCAGAAACTGCCAGAAATATCTGGGAACTTAACCTTTTTATTACGTTGATTTGGGAATGTCAAATAATGAAGACAACCTCAGCTTTCTCAGGCCAGTCTACAAAAGCAGGTAGTTAAATTGTACTAGCTTGGGGACAGGGGACCAACCGTTGCAGGAGAAATAATGAAGGAAATTTTATTCACTTATTGAATGCTTATGATTGCCAGGTTCTGTGTTAAATGCTTTACATGCTTGTTTAATCTTCATCAGAACTCTGCAGTAAAGGGTCCATTCTGCAGCTCAGGAAAAGCTAAGCTTAAAAAGTTTAAATGACTCATCCAGGGTCATATACCTTTTTGTTCATCATCCTGCAGTTCTGCTGTCCTCAACTCTTTAACTCTTACCGCTAAATGTGCTTTGTATTCTTCACTAGAACACCCCATCCAAGAACTCTTCCCCAAAGTGTAGTCCATGTTCTAACTGCCTATTATCTTCCTTGCTTCTACCTTCCTCAACCAAAATTCCCCGTTCTTCCAGTGAAACCAGTCTTGATTAAACGTGAGTAGGTGTAAATCATTGTTTTACCAGTAATGTTTTGTTTTACCAGCAATGTTTTTACTTTTTATATAAAATATTTGTTTTAAAGACCTTGCAAGTCAGGGTTTTTCAATATGTTCTTAGCACAGTGTCTAGTCTACGGTAAGTGATCAGTAAATTTGTTTTAAAAGCCGGTACAATTCCAAGCAATGATTTAAGATTTTATTCATTCTTGAGGAAAAGATAGTCTGAATCTCAGTATCACCTGTGTCCGTAAATGGATCAGAGGAGATAACTTCATCTGCCACAGATGAGCATTCAGCATTAAATTAGAGATTGCCAGTGTTCAGTTCCTTGTCAGCAGGACTTTGGAGACATATTGTGAGAAGTGGTTTGATTTTGGGAATATTTTGAAAATAGAGCAAAAGGAATTACCTATAGACTGGATGTGGGGTGTGAGAATGAAGTCAATAATAAGTAGGTTTGCTTACAAGTGTGTAGTATCAGTCATCTAAAATGTTAGTTTGTTGGGTGGGGGGCTGGCTGGCTCAGTCAGTAGAACATGTGGACTCTTGATCTCCAGGTTGTAAGCTCAAGCCCCACTTTGGGTGTAAAGATTACTTAAAAATAAAATAAAAAGGTTATTGCAAAATATAAGTAAAAATGAGAACAGTCTTGAGAACATGGATGTCTTAGGATGTCGGGGCATAACATTACATACATTTGTTCAGGCTGGTTTATGTATATGGTCTGATCTCCAAGTGAAGGAGGCACCAGCTAATGAAATATGGCGGTTTCAGCTATCAGAAAAGTGACAGTTGTTACTAACAGTAAGGTTATGATGCTGGTGTACCATTTGCTGTTGTACATAATTTCATAATTAGTAAAAGACATACACATTTACCCCTGAATTAGAGTAATTATTTATAGAATACTTAAAATGTTTGAGGCAGGGCTCTCAACACTAGATATATAGTATGAGTAAAAATGAAAATCTACCCCCCCCTTTTTTAAGAGTTTATTTAAGTAATCTCTACACCCCACCTGGGTCTCGAACTCACGACCCCACGATCAAGAGTCACATGCTCCTCTGACTAAGCCAACCAGGCGCCCCACTGAAAATCTCTACCCTTAAGGAATTTGTCATTAGATAAAATCCTGTTTATGCTTTTCACTCATTTTCACAGAAGCTTCATATCAAATTCTGCATTTTTATACAATGACTGCAGCTCAAAACTCAATACAGCATTCTGCTTTGTAAATCTTTACTGTCAAATTTTCTAGAGCTATGCTAATAAAAATGAATATTTTAAATGTTTTGGATTCCAATTTTGTAACTATTTGAACTTATCACCTTCAAAAACATGTATTAAATTGATGTGAAATCCTATCCCTGGCAGAACTATCAAGTGTTAACTGGTAGCATTGGTGACTTTTACATTGAATCTTCCCAGGTAGCTTTTTATTTTGAAAAATTAAAAACCAGAAAAGTAACAAAATACTATGTTGTGGACTTAGGTACCCTTTGTGTGCTAATACAAGTTGTGTGCTAATAACCAATTGCTAATAGCCGAATTTGCCTCATTTAGGTACATTCTTTTGATGAACCATTTGAAAAGATGTGACACTTCAGGCCTAAGTACTTTACCATATATTTCCTAAGAACAAGACCATTTTCTCTCTCTCTCTTTTTTTTTTTTTTTAAGATTTTTTTTTTTTTTTTAATTTATTTGAGACAGAATGAGAGAGAGAGAGCACATGAGAGGGGGGAGGGTCAGAGGGAGAAGCAGACTCCCTGCCGAGCAGGGAGCCCGGATGTGGGACTCGATCCTGGGACTCCAGGATCATGACCTGAGCCGAAGGCAGTCGCTTAACCAACTGAGCCACCCAGGCGCCCCTCTCTCTTTTTTTTAAGATTTTATTTATTTGACAGAGAGATAGAACGAGTAGGCTGAGCGGCAGGGAGAGGGAGAAGCAGGCTCTCCGCTGAGCAGGGAGCCCTATCCGGGGCTCTATCCCAGGGCCCTGGGATCATGATCTGAGCCGAAGGCAGCCGCTTTAACCGACTGAGCCACCCAGGTGCCCCAAGACCATTCTCTTATATAACCACAATAAAATTGTGGTATTAAGGAGACTACATTGATACAATATGGTTAGCTAATGTACAGTCTGTATTCATATTTATCCAGTTACCCAAGGAAGACATTTTATAGTCCATGGAAGTCTATTTGTTTCAACAGTTAATTCTCTTGTACTCCTCTCTTTACTTTGCAGTTCTGCACAAGATTGGTACATAATCTCAGTGGTGATATAATAAATACCAACATGGGATACTTTAATCCGTGCTGTTAACAAGAAGTCCATGGAACAGCCAAAAAGGGATATTTTAATTTTTTTTTTAAGCATTTTGAAAAGTTTAAACTTGCATAAATGTAAGAAAATTACATTTTTGTTTAGTGGTCCAATATACATGACCGGGAACCTTGGCTTGCTTCTGCTCCAGTATCGGTTTTTTTATCAGTTGGGATTTTTTTTTTTTTTTTTTTTTTTAGATTTTATTTATTTGACCAGAGAGAGACACAGCGAGAGAGAGAATACAAGCAGGGGGAGTGGGAGAGGGAGAAGCAGGCTCCCCACCAAGCAGGGAGTCGGATGTGGGACTGGATCCCAGGACCCTGGTATCATGACCTGAGCTGAAGGCAGATGCTTAAAGACTGAGCCACCAGGCGCCCCGGTTGGCATTTCTTTTAATGCAAGGAACAAAAAAATTTAAGCATAAAACCTATTTATAAAAAGATATTGGACACTCCCACATTTGCAGGAAGGTTATGGAACCTGGCTTAGAAAATGTTCAGGAAAATGAGACAGCTGTCAGGCCCACAGTCCTTATCAAGCCACAGACTATCCCAGAAAGGGTATTACTACCACATCCACTGAGGACCAGATACCACCACAGCTTCCACTTTCACTGGACATGGGACTCCACTGCTGTTTGCCACAAAACTGTATTTTCTTCAGTCTCTTGCTCCTTTAAGCCCTCTCTTTGTCTTCTATGTTCAGGTCCAGTTTCTCTAATCAACCTAACCTAGATCACATGTAAGGGAGACTACAAAACCATATCAAGCCTTTTCAGCTTCTGTAGAGAAGTGAGCCTCTGCCATAGAGTGAGGATTTCTCTAAAAATAAGATGCTTGGCAGCACCCCCCAAAAAATCCACTACACCTGTAACAAATCTGTGCTGTTAATAGGAAATCCTTTAGCTTCAAAAATAGAATGTAACAAAGTATGGAACAGCTAAAGAAACATATATACATAAAGATGAGAATTAACTTTGTATAGTGCATTCTACAAACTGTAAGAAACTTGTTTATTTTTCCATTGAAAGTATGGTGAGGGGGCGCCTGGGTGGCTCAGTCATTAAGCCTCTGCCTTTGGCTTAGGTCATGATCCCAGGGTCCTGGGATTGAGCCCTGCATTGGGCTCCCTGTTCAGCAGGAAACCTGCTTCTCCCTCTCCCACTCCCCCTGCTTGTGTTCCCTCTCTCGCTGTATCTGTCAAATAAATAAATAAAAATCTTTAAAAAAGAAAGTATGATGAGTATAAAAAGAATCTGCAGTTTTCAAATTTGGGCTCTCCGTTTCAGATTAATATTTATTTAGCAGATAGATTTGGAAAGTAGTAACATAAAGTTGCTTCTAAAAATGTGACATAGGTATTAATGATTAACTTACTGGTAAAAAGCAAAATTCTAATGGATTGCTTTTATTTGCATGAGGAGGGAAAAGAGATTTTGTCATTTGATTTCTTTGATATAAAAATGTTCTATGTATTACTTGTAGTTTATTGTAATGGTGTTGAAGGTTGAGAGCAACTTGTTTGTGAAACTTCCCCTGAAGAGCTTTTCTCTAAACAGGTATATGTAGAGTTAATTTATAGAGGCTCCTGGAGCTTACAATATACATAACAGGTCACATTAAATAAATAATTGTAAAGTAATACAAATCCTAGTGCTTTTTAATGTAGCTTTTTTAAATTACATATCTTCAAGTTGGTAATATCACTCAAAATATTTCTCAGAAAATTAGACAATTTTGCGAAGAGTAAAAGAATTTCCATTCCCTAAATACTGACCACTTGTCACTAGATTATCTAGCTTTAGTGAAGTAGATGTTAGAAAGAGCCATTTTTTGGGGTGCCTGGGTGGCTCAGTCGTTAAGCGTCTGCCTTTGGCTCAGGTCATGATCCCAGGATCCTGGGATCGAGTCCCACATAGGGCTTCTTGCTCAGCCAGGAGCCTGCTTCTCCCTCTGCCTGCTGCTCTACCTGCTTGTGCTCTCTCTCTCTCAAATAAAATCTTAATAAAAAAAAAAAAAGCCATTTTTTTCATTTAGACATATGTAATTCTGAGATTTTCTTATAGGTCTAAGAGTCAGGTGAAAATAGACATGGAAGAGTTGCAGAGATAGTACAGAGTTCTCATATAACCTTCACTCAGGTTCCCTTAATGTTGACATCTTACATAACCACGGTATACTTATCAAAAGTAAGAAATTGGGCACCTGGGTGGCTCAGTTGGTTAGGCAACTGCCTTCGGCTCAGGTCATGATCCTGGAGTCCCGGGGTCAAGCCCTGCGTCGGGCTCCCTGTTCAGGGGGGAGTCTGCTTCTCCCTCTGACCCTCCCCCCTCTCATGTGTTCTCTTTCTCTCTCAAATAAATAAATAAAAATCTTTAAAAAAAAAGTAAGAAATTGACATTGTACAATACTATTAACTACAGGTTTATTCCAATTTCCCCAGTTTTTCTGCTGATGTCCTTTTTCTATCCTGGGATCCAATCCAAGATACTACACTGCATTTCGTTGTCTTATCTCTTTACTCTCCTTTAATATGTGAGGGAATGCCTTTCATGACTGTGGCACTCTCTTGAGAGGGTAGTGTTTCTTCACTGTACAGTGACTTTTTTTTCTTCAACACTGTTAATTAGAATTGAGTCACTAAGACTAACCTACACTCAAGAAAATGTAAATTAAGTTTCACTTCATAGAGGGAGGTTTGGACATATGTTAAAAAAACCAATTCATTGGTTAAAATCAATCATTAAATATTTTAGTGGAGGTACTCTGAGGCTCTGCACATATCCTATTTCTCGTTAAAATTTGCACCAACTAAAAGATCCACGGGTGGATCTCACCAGTAGAAGTTCTTATTGTGCTGGCTTAATGGTGATTTCATTCCTTCTACATTTATTGATTAGAGTTCTCCAAGAAAAAGTTAACTCCTCTCCCCAAATCTAGGTTATAGTCAAGGATTAGTCATTGCATTTGGTTGTCAGTGTCTTTCAGATTTCTTTTAATCAAGAACAATCCTCTCTTGGGGTGCCTGGGTGGCTCAGTCGTTGGGTGTCTGCCTTCAGCTCAGGTCATGATCCCAGGGTCCTGGGATCGAGCCCCGCATTGGGCTCCCTGCTCCATGGGGAGCCTGCTTCTCCAATTCCCACTGCTTGTGTTCCCTCTCGCTGTGTCTCTGTCAAATAAATAAATAAAATCTTTAAAAAAAAAACAGCCCTCTCTTTTTAAAAATTTTTAGGGGGCGCCTGGGTGGCTCAGTCATTAAGCGTCTGCCTTCGGCTCAGGTCATGATCCCAGGGTCCTGGGATCGAGACCTGCATTGGGCTCCCTGCTCCGCGGGAAGCCTGCTTCTCCCTCTCCTGCTCCCCCTGCTTGTGTTCCCTCTCCCGCTGTGTCTCTCTCTGTCAAATAAATAAAATCTTTAAAAAAATAAAAATATTTAGGACAATTTTAATTTTTTTTTTAAGATTTTATTTATTTGCGAGAGAGAGAATGAGAGACAGCATGAGAGGGAGGAGGGACAGAGCGAGAAGCAGACTCCCTGCTGAGCAGGGAGCCCGATGCAGGACTCGATCCCAGGACTCCAGGGTCATGACCTGAGCCGGAGGCAGTTGCTTAACCAACTGAGCCACCCAGACGCCCTAAGACAGTTTTTTTAAGAGATCAAGTTGTCTTACATAATATTCCACATCTGAATTTGTATAATTGTTTTTTTTTTTTTTTTAAGATTTTATTTATTTATTTGCCAGAGACACAGCAAGAGAGGGAACACAAGCAGGGGGAGTGAGAGAAGGAGAAGCAGGCTTCCTGTTGAGCAGAGAGCCCAATGCAGGGCTCGATCCCAGAACCCTGGGATCATGACCCGAGCTGAAGGCAGTTGCCTAACAACTGAGCCACCTACGTGCCCCTGTATAATTGTTTTATATACCCGATATTCTATAAACTTTTTTTTAAGATTTTATTTATTAGAGAGGGAGAAGCAGGCTCCCCACTGAGCAAGGAGCCCGATGTGGGACTCGATTCCAAGATCCTGGGATCAATACCTGAGCTGAAGGCAGACACTTAACCAGCTAAACCACTCAGGCATCCCCCAATATTCTATAAGCTTAGGTTTAAATTTAAGCTTGATTAGATTCAAGTTAGACCTTTTTTATTTGAACAGTTCATAGGTGATGTTGTATAATCTATATTGTACACGCAAATGTCCATCCATAAAATGATTTAAAGTTTGATCACTTGCTCACAGAGGAGAAACAGCCAAAGCTTTCTCTTTTAAGGTAGAATTTTCTCTTTGTGGTGTTCAGTAGTCTGTGTAATAACTTTGGCACCTTGCAAATAACCATGTTCACACCAATGATTCTTGCCTGAATTAATCATTTCAGTAGGGCTTATGCGTTGTTTACTAATTTAATTCTCTCTACACTTATTGACTAGCATTTATCTGTAAGTTCCCTCATTAGAGTTATTAGTTTATACTACACTGGGGACTCCTGTGTGACTCAGTGGGTTAAGTGTCTGCCTTTGGCTCCAGTCATGATCCCAGGGTCCTGGGATTGAGTCCCGCATCGGGCTCCCTGCTCAGCAGGGAGTCTGCTGCTCCCTCTGACCCTGCTCCTGTGCTCACTCTCTCTCTCTCTCTCTCTGACAAATAAAATCTCTAAAAAAACAAAAAAACTATGCTGTCCCTTAAAAAAAAAAAAAATTATACTGCACCGGAGTTTCTACTCAAAGCAAGATAAATGCTTAATTCTTTCCCTTTAATTACAGATACTCAGAATAAGGACATGATGTAATAATAGCCTCCAATACTAGAAAAATTGTTGGGTATTTAGATGTTGCAGTTGATTTTTGAGTATCATTACTCTACCAGATCTTTAAATTATTCTACCATGATCTATGTATCATTACTCTACCTATTCATTGTTCTTAAGACTCATCCCTTCTCCCTTTGCCATTTTAACCTGTTCCAATGCCTTCATAGTAAGCACTCAGTATATGTCTCTTGAATGGGTAAGTGGAAGGGAGGAATTGGATCCATACTTTCAGGCGTGTGTGGATGTTTATTTTTCTGGGGAGAAAGTCTACCTCTACTATTCCCCCCGTTTGTGCTCTCTCCCTCTCTCTGTCAAATAAATAAATAAAATCTTAATATATATATGTGTGTGTGTGTGTATATGTATATATACATATATAGTGTAAGCCAAAGTATACCTAAATTGGATAGTGTAAGGGGAATTGTGTGGATTAAAAATTGAGGAAATTTTAGTGTTCTCAGTAATACTGTAGAAGTAGAAATAATTGCAAAGCTTCCTAGGATTGATTGTACAAAATGTTCTATACATCTAATGATTTCATTTGAGATTTTAAAAAAATTTTTTAAAGATTTTATTTTTGTGAGAGAGCGAGAGAGAGCACATGGAAGGGGGGGGGCAGGATGGGCAGAGGGAGAAGCAGACTCCCCGCTGAGCACGGAGCCTGATGTAGGGCTCCATCCATCCCAGGACCCTGGGATCATGACCTGAGTCAAAGGCAGACGCTTAACTAACTGAGCCACCCAGGCACCCTCATTTGAGATTTTTTTTAAAGCACATCTTCCTAAGGTGAGCCTGCAGACTTAGAAACATCAGGTTTAATTTGCAAAACCTTGACTAAACACACACACACACACAAGATTCCCCTTTACTAGTGATGTCAATGTAATTACAAGTAGCGTGTCATACATCTGCTTTGAAAGAAATTTTGAAGTTTTGGCAAACTTTTAGAATCTGTTCCCAGTGGTGTGTAGTTTAAGGCAGAGATCTGCCTGTTACCAAAATTTCTTTTTCAGTAAGCAGCTTTAGAAACTGATGCAAAAGAAGCAAATTTAAAATGGTAAGTTGTTTTTCTTTGTGTTTCAGATATGTCGGCAACCTTTCCAGAGATGTGACAGAAGCTCTAATTCTCCAGCTCTTTAGCCAGATTGGACCTTGTAAAAACTGCAAAATGATTATGGATGTAAGGGTATTTTACTTAGTTAACTTTCTTCTTTTTTAATAGATTAGTTAAATCCATTACTTCCAGGAACTCCCTCTATTTTTTTAAAGAATAGTTTTTTTAAGTATGCTCTATGCTCAGCATGGGGTTCAAACTCATGATCCTGAGGTCAAGGGTCGCATGCTCTACCAACTGAACCAGCCAGGGGTCCCTCTTCCAGAAACTCTTAAATTAGTTTATACAGGGGTGCCTAAATGGCTCAGTAGGAACAGCACGGGGCTTTTGATCTTGGGGTCATGAGTTCGAGCCCCACGTTGGGTGAAGAGATTACTAAAAAAAAAATTAAACTTAAAAACTGCAGGGTCATTCATTTAAAAAAAAAGTAGTTTAGGGGGCACCTGGGTGACTCAGACGTTGAGCGTCTGTCTTCGGCTCGGGTCATGATCATGGGGTCCTGGGATCGAGCCCCACATCGGTCTCCCTGCTCGGCGGGAAGCCTGCTTCTCCCTCTCTCACTCCCTCTGCTTGTGTTCCTGCTCTCGCTGTCTGTCTCTCTCTCGAGTAAATAAAATCTTTAAAAAAAAAAAAAATACAGTCTAAATTCCTAGTAATTTTAGTGAATTTAAGTCAGTCTTAGCCACTGAGTTTAACTTACTTTACTAATAAATAAAGGAGGAAGAGAAGAGAACTAATTATTTTTAGAGCAAATAAGAACTATATGTAGGCTCTTGTTTTAAGGTGCATTGAGGTATCAGAATTGTTTTATATGTGCTATCAGTTGATTGGCTAAGTTACTACAATTACATTAGGAAATTGGGTTAAAAATAATATACTGTGAAAGTGTTTGTGTGTGTTGAAAGCGTTTTTAACTTTTAAATGTTATGATTCAAGCTTTTCTTGCATTGTGGCAATTCCCATTCATCTGTAATTGCTGTTAACCCTGAATCATAGCATGTATAAAAAGACAAGTCTAAATTCCAGTCTATTCATACTGTTGGACTGATGTTCTTAGTTACGAATTTTATACTCTCTGGAGTATAAAGGCTGATAGTGTGAATGCTTAGATCTTTTTATCAAAGAAGTGCAGTCTTTTCCGAGTACAAATTAAGTAAAATTAAGACTTTTTCATTTGATTATGCTGAAGTGTAAGTTACTTTGTGTAACATTAATGCCTGCCAACACTCACCTTTGTAATAGAATTACCATTAAGTGTAGCATTAGTTTGAATTATGCAGGTTTTTTTTAACACTTTTATATTCTTTAATTTTTTTTAAGATTTTTAAAAATTTATTTAATTTATAGAGCAAGTGTGAGAGAGAGGGAGAGAGCACAGAGCCCACCATGGGGTTGATCCCAGGACACCAAGATCATGACATGAGTAGGTTGCTTAACCAACTAAGCCACCCAGGTGCCCCTCTTTAATGTTTTTAAAATAAAATGATTGTCTCAATATTATAAATTTTGTGGTTGCCTCCTTACTCTAACATTCTTAAAAATCATTGCCAGTGACTTCTTTAAACAATTAATTGTCCTTGAAACAAAATAGTAATTTCTTTATTCTAGTGTCATTGTAGTCTTTTGAATTAGTTTCCTATTTTAACAATTCTGCTTAGGAGTTTATGGAAAGAATTAAAAAATGGACTCAGGGGCGCCTAGGTGTCTCAGTCGTTAAGCGTCTGTCTTCGGCTCAGGTTATGATCCCAGGGTCCTGGGATTGAGCCCCACATCAGGCTCTCTGCTCCATGCAAAGCCTGCTTCTCCCTCTCCCACTCCCCCCGCTTGTGTTCCATCTCTTGCTGTGTGTCTTTCTCTGTCCAATAAATAAATAAAATCTTAAAAAAAATGGACTCAAAAGTCATTTTGTATTTTGCAGATAGGTGTAAAATATGGGGTGTTTTTTCTGCTGCTTTAATTTACAATAAAGCATCCAAGCTGCACTTACCAGACCTCAACTACTTGGAACACCAGAAAAGAGGAGAATTTTTAAAAGACTATAGGCAAGGGCGCCTGAGTGGCTCAGTTGGTTAAGCAACTGCCTTCGGCTCAGGTCATGATCCTGGAGTCCCGGGATCGAGTCCCGCATCGGGCTCCCTGCTCGGCGGGGAGTCTGCTTTTCCCTCTGACCCTCCCGACCCTCCCCCCTCTCATGCTCTCTCTCTGTCTCTCTCTCTCAAATAAATAAATAAAATCTTTAAAAAAAAAAAAAAAGACTAAAGGCAAAAAATTGATGTTTGAAAGGCCACATTCTAAAACCTATTCTAAAAACTTTGTTTACCAGAAAACCTCTTCAGTTTTCAGAGCCTGAAATAGGTTTAAGAAAGTTGGCTGGAACAAACAATGAATCATGGAACACTTCATCTAAAACTAATGATGTAATGTATGGGGATTAACATAAGAATAAAAAATTAAAAAAAAAAAAAAGAAAGTTGGCTGGTATTTTCACCTACTTAGCAAGTTAGAAGCAGCAAGGATATGTGTACATTTATAGCAGTAAAAGGTAACATTTAACAGGGAAGGGAGAGGAAAGATCATTAAAAGCCAGTACTGTGACTTGAGAGCATAAGAGTCTAGGCAAACTTAATTAACAACCGTAGCGTAAAGAAATGATTATATGATGAGGAATGTGTGTGTAGTTTCTATATGCATCCATCCATAATTAGGATACTTAATCATTAATACAAGATTAAATTATATGTAGTATTATAGTATAACTTGTTGATAGTATTCTTTAAAAACTGCATTTTTTTTTTAAGTGTTTACTTCCTTATCTAAAGATTTACTTGTGGAATGGACCCCTTCATTTTCCTTGGCCTGATATTTGAGATATATAAAACTTCACATAATTTTAAGATAATGGGAGTATACAACTTAAATTTGGCTTTTGTGTTTTCTTCAACAGACAGCTGGAAATGATCCATACTGTTTTGTGGAATTTTATGAGCATCGTCATGCAGCTGCAGCACTAGCTGCTATGAATGGGCGGAAGATAATGGGTAAGGTAAGCTGTCATATTTAAAGAAGGTGACTTGAAATTTTTAAGTTGTATACAATTTTGTTTACTATTTATTTATTTATTTATTGAGAGAACACACAAGCGGGGGTGGCGGGGATGGCAGAGGGAGAGAATCCCAAGCAGGCTCCACGCTCAGTGCAGAGCCCAACATGATCTCACAGCCCTGAGATCATGACCTGAGCCAAAATCAAGAATCGGACACTTAACCAACTGAGCCACCCAGATGCCCCCAATTTGATTACCTTTCAGAAGCATTATATCACTTTATAGCAGGTCACATTTAATATTTAAAAGATGGAATAAAGCTTTTTAGAGGGCATGTTTATGTTGGTATTCTTCAGGATGCCTCACACATGGTAAATACTAAAATATTTGTTGAATTACTCAAGCTTGGATGAAACCTCTAGAACTTGGGATACTAATGGGGAAGAATAAAAAGAAAAATGATTTTTACTTTAGATAAGAAAGGTTAGTTGAATGTTAACACAGAAGTATGATTAGGATTTGCCAATATTTGAGAAAGTGTAGGTTAACCTAAAGAAAAAAAAAGAAACCTTTAAAAAAAAAAAAAATGTAGGTTACAAGGTAAGTATTGAAACTTTGACCAGAACTGTTATCCTCTTGAATGTTTCATCTCCAACATATGCCTTCCTGTGTGTTTATAGATGCAAATCTTGTAATATCTGATTTTGAACTTTATTTTTATGGAGTATAAATGTAGAAACATTTTTTTAGGAAGTCAAAGTGAATTGGGCAACAACCCCCAGCAGTCAAAAGAAAGATACAAGCAGTAAGTATATTTTATACTCTTTGAACATTTGTTTTTATTGTACACAGTAGTTTTATTGTAAAGCATATAAACATCGTACATGTTTGCAGTAATGTTTTGATCGTTATCCTAAGATATGATTGAATGTGTTTGTGTTAATAAATTTAAGAACAAATCTAATCTTTGTCATCAGGTAGTACCGTTGTCAGCACACAGCGTTCACAAGGTAATTGTATCTTCTTAAACATAAAATGAAATCTCTTGAAAGGGTATTCACTAACCACTTGAAGTTTTTTTGTTTGATATTGGGGGGAGGTGGGAGGGAGGGGGTCGTATTTCCATTTGTCTCTCTGGCAATATTTTTCCCCCTTCTTCCCAGTGTTGACCAAATGTGGCTTGTCCGCTACTTTGGTGCTATTTCAAGCTCTCTGACCCCCATGGTAGCAGCTGATGCCTTTGAAATACTTTCACCAACTAAAGGGCAAGATACCCTGCTTCCTTGAGGTCACGATCTGTGCTTCAAACCAGATCTTCTGATTGCTTGAGTTGCTCCTGAAACTCTGTTTCCCAAATGGCAACCCAATATGTTGCTTAAGGCCTGCCAAATGGGGGTAACTTTTCTTTCCAAATATACTTTGTCAAAGTTGATGTATGTGTTCCTTTTAAAGTGTTGATCCAACTATTTTGTATTTTTAAAGTGTTTCTTTTTTTGAACGTTGTCTTTTTTAAAAAAAACTTCACATATGGGATCGTTATTTCTCTCCAATGCTTTTTTAATGGCTCTGATATAAAGTGAAGGGATTACTGTTTTCATTCTGTTGCCTTCAGTCTTAGTTCACTTGCACATGGATTCACATAAACTGAATGGTGTAATGTCTGGGCAACCAAAACTGTTGGCTTTTGAGAAAACTGTCAAATACTTTAACATCAAACTGTTGCAATGCAAGGTATTTCTTTGATTGTTCTTCAAAAAATATGGTTAAACCAAGTATATCATGTAGCTAGCTTCAGTCAGTTGTCTTACTGAGGCAAATCTAGTCTACATAACTCACAGTACCACTATTTTATTTTAATTTTAAAACCTTAATGTAGTGGTAAACTGGATAAATGTAAATAATCACTATTAAAATGGTAATTAAGTCATTAATTTTTTTTGCAAAGCTTGTTAAATATTATTTATTTTCTTAGGCCAGTATAATAATTGGCTGTAAGTAGAAATATAACTGTCAGTTTCCAGTTAGATATATCAGTCTTTAAGAGAGTCTTTCCTATATTATCACCTTCATTCATTATGTGTAAAATTGATAAGATCTGTATAGATATAGGATAGTGTTTTACTTATACTTAATCCATAAATTAAGATTATTTTATTGAATAGATTTTAGTATATTTTAAATTCTAAAATTTTATTTTTCTTTTCAATCCCCCTTCCTTCCCCTTATAAGATCATTTCCATGTCTTTGTTGGTGATCTCAGTCCAGAAATTACAACTGAAGATATAAAAGCTGCTTTTGCACCATTTGGAAGAATATCGTAAGTAACAGAGGATAAATTTAAACTGATTTTAATTAGAAACAGGCTTATGTAGAAGTAATTTGAAAATCTGTTATGAATTTTAACCCTTCAATATAATTCATTATGTTGTTTAGAGACTATTTAAGCCATTAACAGCCAGAGATTGTTTTCCCATTGATAAATCTTTGGTCTTCAATTATTTTAAAATCCTTTTTCAGTTAGCATTAGCTCCTAAAAGACAAATTTGCTATTGTACATATTTCTTGTGTAAGTGTCTTGCTTAGCTTGGTCATAATCTTTAGTAATCTTTTGCTGTGACTAAGGAATTTAGACCCTTGGGACACTTCTATGATACCATGCATTTTGTGTTAATATATTTTAACAAAAAGAAACCTTAACAATTCAACCTAAAAAGCACAGTTGTTAAATATTAATCCCCAGGTATCTACCCTTTTGTTGTTGTTGTTACTATTAATAATAATGCCTTTTAGTATTTTGTGGAGCACTGTCTTGCTTGCATTTGTTATTAATCATATAGTTTAGGCCCTTTGTAAGTAGCTCGCTCAAGGTAGTGTTCATCAAAAGAATTTTAATATTTTGAAAAGCATGCCATAATAGAGTAAGAATAAGTTGATTATAGTATTTTCTTAGAAGTACTTGTTGAATTTAGAAAACAGAATTTTTGGGTTTCTGGTTGCTTTTTTAATGTTGTTCCAGCTAGAAGAGTAGTAAAAAGGAAACTTTAGCTTTGGTTTGGTTTGAGGAACAGAACAACAGCAGAGATGAGAAGGTGAGGAGACTGGAAAGTAAATGCCAATAGTATTGGTGGTAAATTTGGGGAGTTTTTATTTGAAGAGTTGTGGTTCATTGGTAGGAGGACAAAAATGAACAGTGACCAAGGAATGGCCCTAAGTAGAGGCTAACTTTAAAGGCAGTCAAAAGATTAGGGTTTATAAATGGACTCTCTTGTTGGGCAACATTTTTCTTTGTCTGTGAGAACCAATTAGGAAAATAAAGTTCTAGTTTCTTGATTGTTCCTTTTAATCTTAGGGTTTTGATGATGGTTAGCTTGCTTTCAAATACCTAGACAGGAAGGTGTTAACCTTTGGCCTCTCAAAAGCTCTATAAATCTCTGTGTACAGAATTTTGTGTTTGTTTTCATTTTGGTGTGGAGTATCTTTGTAAGTTTTATCCTATTTTCAGAGTAGTCACAGGACCATAAAAGGATTAAAGAAGGATAAAAGAACCCTGATCTAGATCTTTGCTGCTTCTTCCTTAGAGAATCCTTTCAGAAATAAGTAAGACTTAAATATATTTCAAGGCTAACATATCCTGAAACTTAACTTTAAGAAGAAAAAAATTTTCTAACATTTTAACAGATTCAATAGCTATTTTATTAAATGCTTTGATTTTGACTGAAGTAGCTTTTCTGAAAACATGGGGATTTTAGTTTGGGATTAGATAAAGATTGTTTAACAATCAGTGAGTTTAAGTTAAATGATATTCCAATTTTAATAATGACTTTTTAATCATGGATCAGTAATTTCTTTTTGTTAAATATGTTGGTATCATAATTATAGCCTAGATTTTTCTTATGATCAACCATGATTATAGGTGTATATATATATTTTTTGGTAAGGCCTTTATAATTTATGGATTATAATTTTCAGTGGAGGTAATGTATATAATGTCTAAGTTTTCGGCTACCCAAGGAGTTAGTGTTTCTAAATTTAAAAGAATGATTTTCAGTTGGTAGCATCATTTCCTGATTTTTTTGTTAAAGGAGATAAATTGATAAATATATATTGAAAGGTTCTCATGATAGCCAGATATTCTCTGTAGAGATCCTCCAGCAGTACTTAATTTATAGATGGTGTGCAGTAAGTGGTGGCCTATTAAAATATTTAGTAGAAAAGATATAGTACTTTCCTGCCCTAATTTATACAGTTTATACTCTATTCCTTGAGTTTAGGGTAGTCTAACAAATTTTGGTATAGAAGTGAATCAGCTACCAAATTAAATGCATGTGTACCATACCGATAATAAGTATTTTTTCGTATTGAGAAGTGACTTGCATTAGTTGTCCCTTTTCACTACCACCTCTTTGTCATTTTGACCCTAAACACTTAATAAATCACTCCTAAATTAATCGAAATATGCTTATGTATACTTTAATATAAAATTATATTGCATGGCTTTCTGACTTGGGTTTTTGTTGTGAAAGTGCCTGTTTTGTTCATGTGTCCTGAGAGAACAAGCATTGTGACATACCTGGCTAACTTAAAAGCAGATTGCCTGTGAAGCACAATTTGAGTCCAATTTTTTGAGGTATGGAGTTTTAGCTATCATGGCTGGGTTTTTTTACTCAATCTCAAATAATAGGGCTCTGGTTATTTTGCAGAGTATCTCTGAAGAATGGACAGAATTGCCCTGGCTAACTACAAGCTACGGTTCACAGTGGATAAATGTTGGCGTGCTTTTTTACTTTCTGACTTTTTAAAATTTTGCTTTTATATCTTGTAGTTTCCAATCAATCTTATATGATTGCTATTTTAAAATTCAGTATAAAATCTTTTCTTATATAGTTTAAAACTAAAGTGTGTGTCTAGTGTTTTTCTTCAATGATTTAGCATTTCTGAAAACATCAAGTTCTCAATTTACCCATAGTCCAAAAGGGGGGTGTCGATTGATCTGAGAAAACAAAATAATTAATTTAGGAAATATACAGCTTCTCATTCTTTTAGTTTCCAGTTTTCTATTTTAATTTTTTTAATGATTAGGTAGTATATGGTGTCAAATAGAAAATTATCAGTTGCATGGTTCAAGAAAGCCATTCATCTAATGTGCCTGTGAACCCTATAAATGATTAAGTAATTTCATATGAATAGCTGCTTTTACCATGCTTAATATTTAAAAGTTTAAAAACTTTCTGAAATGGGAGGCAGTTTTTGTACAATATATACATATGTATTTAAGAAGTTACTGATTTGCATGTTTATTAAGCCTCATTTGCTAATACATGATAAATTTTATAGAATAAAAGGTGAATATGCATTAAAGGTTCATTTTAATGAAGATGAAACATAAAAATGAGTTGTGTGTGACATTCTCACTTGATATCCAGAGGAGACTTTGCAAACCTAAACTTCTGATTATTTCTGATTTCAGAGATGCCAGAGTGGTAAAAGACATGGCAACAGGAAAGTCTAAAGGATATGGCTTTGTCTCCTTTTTCAACAAATGGGTGAGCTCAGTTCAAAAGTGCGTGTGTGGTGCTTTAAGAGTAAAGACCAAAGATACTCATTTTGGGGCGCCTGGGTAGCTCAGTTGGTTAAGCCCTGCCTTCAGCTCAGGTCATGGTCTCAGGGTCCTGGGATCGAGTCCCTCATCAGGCTCCCTGCTCAGCGGGGAGTCTGCTTCTCCCTCTGACCCTCCCCCCTCTCATGTTCTCTCTATCTCATTCTCTCTCTCAAGTAAATCTTAAAAATAAAAAAATAATAAAAAAAATAAAGATACTCATTTTGTTTTAATAATTATCTTTCATCTGCCACTTGCTTATTTCACTGATAATTAACACCTTCACAAGAGGATACCTACAGAGATTACTAAAAAAATAAATAATCTTAAAAAAAATAAAAACAATAAAATGCTCCAATGGGTGGGGACTTTTTAGAAGTTATATACTAATGTATTTGAAAATGTCTTCTCATTTCTTTCATTTAACAATCATTTATTGAATACCAATTTGCATGGACTTGAAATTTCTGTGTTTTGTGGAGAAAAGGATAGTACAGTTTGTCAAATGAGAGGTGAGAATAGGGTATATACAGAAGGAAAAGCTTCATCTTCAGTATGTCAGTGGGATGAAATCTTTGGCATATCCTCCATACAATGTAATCATGTACTGTTGTTTTAAAAAATAAATATATACCATAGAAATCTTTCCATAGCTAGTACTTACGGAACAATAAAAGGAGTCTATAAATACTGATTATAGAAATATTTCTGTGGTAAATGAATTGAAAAGGCTCATTTGTGTAAAAAAGGGAGTGTGTATTTTTTGGGTATGTGTGTTCCTCTCACAGGGATAAACAAAAAACTTGCTGTGGAGTTTCCTGTTTGGGAGTTGGAAGTGAGCGGCAAATGGGGGACAGAGTTGGAAGCTTCTCACAGTATTGTACTGTTTGAAGTTTGAACCTTGTAAATGTATTATAAGTTCAAATAAATGATTTACCTCTTTTAGTGTGATAACTAAGGTTCAAAACAATTAAATGTCAGGGATGCCACACTTCAAAAATACAGGAGTGAAAGTGGGAGAATATATATATGCCTTGGAATATATACTAAGGTTTCGTTAACCTTAGATTTTAGTGTATTGCTTCTATGTTAGGACTGCCATTTGCCAAAGATAAGTTACAGAAACACTGCTGTACTTTCTGTGTAAGAATACCTTAGAGGGTAAAAAAAAGAATGCCTTAAAAAATGAGCCATTAGGAGAGCCTGACTGGCTCAGGATTGGAGTTCAAGACCCATGTTAGGCATAGAGAAATTTTTTAAGGGAAAAAAAAAAGTTTAAAGAAAATGAGCTATTAAAAGTTTTTGATAGTATGGGGGCACCTGGGTGGCTCAGTCGTTGGGCATCTGCCTTAGGCTCGGGTCGTGATCCTGGGGTCCTGGGATCGAGCGCCACATCGGGCTTCTTGTTCGGCGGGGAGTCTGCTTCTCCCTCTCCTACTCCCCCTGCTTGTGTTCCCCCCGCCCCGTCAAATAAATAAATAAAATCTTTAAAGAAAAAAGTTTTTGATAGTATGAAATGTATTTTAGAAAGGTTTTCTTTAATAAACAAGATATTTGAAATAGATACTGTATCCTTTCTTAATGGCTTTAGGTGAAGTTTATGACCATTGGTTATTGTGCCAGTTCCTTCTGACTTTTTTAAAAAATATATGTTTGCAGTTAACACCAAATATCATCAGACTTTTTTTTACTAGTTCCTGTGTCTACTTACATTGGAACTGTGTGGTTATTCCTTATATGAACTCTTACTATTACTATCCAGATACTTGCTATAACAGCTTGCAACCATTTTGCCCAAAGTTTATTTTCCAAATAAGAAATTTGCCTTAAAAATGTTTACATGGCTTGCAAGTTTGGGTAAGAGAATGTAGAGTGCACTGCAATTATATCTCAGCTGTTCACATAGTAACATGGTATCTTGGGATCTAATTGTTTATTTTGTTGTTTATTTATTTGAGAGAGCGTGGATGGAGGGGAAGGGCAGAGAGAGAGGGAGAAGCAGACTCCCCGCTGAGCAAGGAGCCTGACTTGAGGCTCAATCCCAGGACCCTGAGATCATGACCTGAGCTGAAGTCAGACACTTGACTGACTGAGCCACCCAGGCGCCCTGGGATCTAATTGTTTAAATGTGTTGTACAGGGGCACCTCCCTAAACCATTCTCTTCCTAGTGCTAAGAATGGCCTTGTTAAAACATAGATCATGATAATCTCTTAAAATCTTTTAGTTTTTTCCTCTGGCACCCTTTTTAGCTCACTAGATTCCACTGAAACTAGTTGTCTTTAACATGGCCTTTTTTTTTTTTTAAGATTTTATATATCACTTGAGAGAGCGAGAACACGCACAAGCAGGGTGAGGGGCAGAGGGAGAAGCAGGCTCCCCACTGAGCAGGGAGCCCGATACAGGGCTTGATCCCGGGACTCTGGGATTTTACCTGAGCTGAAGGCAGACCATTAACCGACTGAGCCACCCAGGTGCCCCAACATGCTTTTTTCAGATACATCCCAAACTCTTTCCTGCTGGAACACACTTCACAATGCTTTTCTCTTCACAAGGGCTTTGTTCCCTGGAGTTTTGACTTGGCTAGCTCCTGTTCCTCTCAGTGTCAGCATACATGATATATTTTAGAGAGAGCTTCCTTAATCATGCTGTCTGAAGTAGATCCCAAAGCCCATATTCTGTAGGTCATCCTTTTGTATTATTTAATTTTATTTTTTTAAAAGACTTTATTCATTTGATACAGAGGGAGAGCACAGGTAGGCAGAGGGAGAGGGAGAAGCAGGCTCCCCATTGAGCAGGGAGCCCAACGCGGGACTCGATCCCAGGACTCCGGGATCGTGACCTGAGCCGAAGGCAGATGCTTAACCGACGGAGCCATCCAGGCACCCCCCTTTTGTGTTTTTTTAATTTTTTTTTAATTTTTTATTTTTTAATGTATTTGAGAGAGAGAGTGCACAAGCAGGGGGATTGGCTGGCAGAGAGAGAAGCAGGCTCCCAGCTGAGCAGAGAGCCTGACATGGGGCTCCATCCCAGGACCCTGGGATCATGACCTGAGCCAAAGGCAGATGCTTAACCAACTGAGCCAGACAGGTCCTCCCATCCTTTTGCTTCTGTCATGGCATTTACCACAATTTGTGATAAGTTTGTGGCCCCAAAAGAATGTCAGCTCTGTGGCAGCCAAGACCATGTCTGTCTCATTAACCGGTGAATCCCTAGCACTTAATCTGCTGCCTAGAACATTGTAGCTGTTCACTTTTTGCTTGTTGGATGAATGAGAAACCAAATATTGTCACAAGTTTGTTGGATTGTATAAAGTGAGATTTTCATAATAGTCTGAGTTATTACATGAACTTTATAATAGCTATCTCATAAGGGCTTTGGGGCTCTGAACTTTTTCAGGTAATTAACATTCCCAAAGTCTGATATCCAAATAAAAGAGATAATTTAAAAGCACCATTGCATTTTAGGAAACATATTGTATATTGTGTATTTTATAAAACATTTTCATTCAGTAGACATTTGTGAAAAGCAACTGAATTTTCTCTACTGCTAATGGTCTTTCAACATCAACTAATGGTGGCTTCTTTGTCATTTCTAATGTTGTGCGGAACAGGATGCTGAAAACGCCATTCAACAGATGGGTGGCCAGTGGCTTGGTGGAAGACAAATCAGAACTAACTGGGCAACCCGAAAGCCTCCAGCTCCAAAGAGTACATATGAGTGTAGGTGTATTGGAGAAGAAAAGGAAATGTGGAATTTTGGAGAAAAATACACTAGATTTTAAATGTTAGAGCTGTTCCCGGAGACTTATTGCAGAAATAGATGAGAAGCAAATCAAGACTACTGTTCAAAATGTACTTAGTTTTCATTTTTGTAATTTTAAATAATAAATGATATTGTCTTTAATGTCAAGTCTCCTATTAAATAGAGAATATTGAGTAATTTTTTAGACGTTCTTGGGGGAGGTTTAATCCTCAATCAAATGTATTATGTATTATGCATTTTGGTCAAGGTAAAAATTACCATTATAGTAGGGTAGTTGATACTGCTTTTTTCTTTCTGAACATTTTATTTAATGAATTTAAAATATTAAACTTTTCCCTCCCCAGCAAACACCAAACAGCTATCATATGATGAGGTTGTAAATCAGTCTAGTCCGAGCAACTGTACTGTATACTGTGGAGGTGTCACTTCCGGGCTGACAGGTATGGGAGCCTTATTACCTGTGTGGCATTTTGAGGTTAATTTTTTAACTGAAAAGCTTAATGTCTGTAGGATTTTATATAACTTGGTGTGGTTTATTTTTGTTTTTTATCTAACAGAACAACTAATGCGTCAGACTTTTTCACCATTTGGACAAATAATGGAAATTCGAGTCTTTCCAGATAAAGGATATTCATTTGTTCGGTATGGGTGGTTTTTTTTTTAAAAAAAACTTTTTCCCCAAAAATCATTTTGAATATTTAACTTAGTAGTTTTCTTAAAAATGTACCTTGGTTGTAAAGAAATAGAAATTTCTCTAGCATTTAGCAGTATTTGCCACTGTGTTTTAGTGGCTCCTTCCTTGTAACCACAAGATCAATAAAACATTCTCTGTTAAAAGAAGTTTCTTCAGAACTACAGGATTTTTGGGAAAATATACCAAAGAAAATATACCATCTTACGGGCGCCTGAGTGGCTCAGTTGGTTAAGCGACTGCCTTCGGCTCAGGTCATGATCCTGGAGTCCCGGGATTGAGTCCCGCATCGGGCTCCCTGCTCGGCGGGGAACCTGCTTCTCCCTCTGACCCTCCCCCCTCTCATATGCTCTTTCTCTCTCATTCTCTCTGTCTCAAATAAATAAATAAAATCTTAAAAAAAAAAAAAAAAATATATATATATATATATATACCATCTTACTCTTTTGTGTGAAGTGCCTCTTATACCTCAGGCTCAGCTTGATTTTTAAAAATGGGTTTTATTCATAAGTACCTTAAACAGTTTATATTGGTGATTCTTAATATTCTTTTCAATAGGTTCAATTCCCATGAAAGTGCAGCACATGCAATCGTTTCTGTTAATGGAACTACCATTGAAGGTCATGTCGTGAAATGCTATTGGGGCAAAGAAACTCTTGATATGATAAACCCTGTGCAACAGGTGAGAGGATTCTTGACTTTGTAGAGTAATTGCTGGGCTAATAATAGGTTATTTTAAAATGAAATTATTGATAATCCTTGTTAATAGGTTCTAGCTAAATATATAAGGGCTCTTCCTGTATGTGTTATAGTTCTAGAGTGGTAGTTTACCTAACAGGGTGTTCAGGCTTTTTTCTTAACACTTGGTAGATTTATTCACATACTATTTGGAGAACTCACAAGCATGTTTGACTCAGTTGGAACAAAAGCTATAAATATATTTAGAGCCTTGGCATTTTTTCTATATTTTGCTGCTTACGTTTTTCCAGGCAGCTTTAATGGTTCAGATGTGATCCCATAAAGATTTCTGTGAGGGGGCACCTGGGATGACTCAATCAGTTAAGCATCTGACTCTTGATTTCGGTTCAGGTCATGATCCCAGGGTCGTGAAATCAAGACCCGCATCAGCTCTGTGCTATGCGTGGAGCCTGCTTAATATCCGCTGTCTTGCATGCTCTTGCACTCTCTCTCTTTAAGAAAAAAAAAAAAAAGTTTTCTGTGAACAAATTGTAAATGGAGCACCAAGAAAGGAATAAGAAAATCCTAAACTATATAAGCTATATAAGTTTTTTAGGTAAACTGAATATAGGAATAAGTAATCTTTTCTATTTTCCCTATCTAGTTTAATTTACAAAACACTTAAACATGTACTGAGTTCGATATTTATTATTGGAACATTACCTACTGCCTTACAAAGAGTGTGCCATTTAGAGCATGAGGAAGAGTTACAGCAGTATAACCTCACTCTTTTTTTTTTTTTAACACATTTATCTCATAAACTCTTGTTTATCCTTTTATTTTAATTGCAATGATGGCCCTATGTGTTATGGCTATATATTTGTGGTACATTAGGAGTGAATGTGTACATATAACTTCAAATAATACTAAATTACTTGTTGTAATTTTACTTAATAGCAGAATCAAATTGGGTATCCACAAGCTTATGGCCAGTGGGGCCAGTGGTATGGAAATGCACAACAAATTGGCCAGTATATGCCTAATGGTTGGCAGGTACCTGCATATGGAATGTATGGCCAGGCGTGGAGTCAGCAGGGATTTAAGTAAGCATATTTTCTTTTCTCCTTTATTATTAGTCTTTGAAAAAGTTAAGAACTTAGGAAGAGATTTTAAGTAATTAGTAGGTAATGTGGTCCTCTGTCTAAAGCAAGTTTTAGCCTTTGAAGGACTTAGTTTAGAGCTGTTTTTAATTTATAGTTTTAAGTGTATTTCTTTAAAAATTTCTCTGGAAATGTGCTGCTCTGAGGCATAACCAGTGTTAAAAGAATTTTAGTAATGCTTGGTAATGAATCAACTCATATTAAAGTAAGAAAATGAGAGCTTAATAATGCTAAGCTTTTTATTTGAGTAATGATCATTTAGCCATTCTTGGATACAGTTATTTTGATGCTAGTTGTTTTATTCGTTATGCTTTTTTTTTCTGCACTATAGGGTTTATTACATATTGTTATATGAATGCTGCTTTATACACCTTGAATTATGAAATTTCACTTAAATTTTTGAAAAAGAAACTAAAAATACTTTGCATTTTTTATTTTAAAAGAATCTTGTATTTGTGGGGTGCCTGGCTGGCTCAGCCATTAGAGCATGAGACTTTTGGTTTTGGGGTTGTAAGTTTGCGCCCTGTGTTGGATGTAGCTTACTTAAAAATAAAATCTTTTAAAAAATAAAAGAACCTTATATTTGTAATGTTGAAAAATATTATGAGCTTACATATGCTAATAATTGTTTTAATGTTTTTTTTTGGAGTAATATAAGTGGTAGTCTCTATTGTGCCAAATGATCGAGTTTCTTTCAGGTAGTGGTTTGTTCAATTTATGTCTAACCCAGGTGCACAGTTTTCCTTTCTGAGATTAGAAATGACTTTTTTCTGAATTCAAAGGAGAGAAATGTTTACAGGTAAAGGGTATTTTTTTTTTTTTTTTTAGCTATATTAAACTAACAAAATTAAACTGCACAAATTAAACACTATGAGGATGCTTGTTTTTAAGAGAAAAAACTTTTGCCTTTGCTTGGCATAACCATTATTCTTATATTTGGGCTTAAGTAAAAGTATTTTTTCTATGTATATGTTATTTTTTCTCGGCGTTACATTTTATTTTAATCAGTGGATTTCCCCTCCTCTCTGCTTCTTTCACATTTTCTACCAGTCAGACACAGTCTTCTGCACCATGGATGGGACCAAATTATGGAGTGCAGCCACCTCCAGGACAGAATGGCAGCATGTTGCCTAATCAGCCTGCAGGGTATCGAGTGGCAGGGTATGAAACCCAGTGAAAAAGGACTCCATAATCTAAAGCCAGTGGCTTGAGGCTACAGGGAGTGTAGTAAAGCCGTTGTTTACTTAAAGATTTATCAAATCAGTCAGTGCAAATGTCAGATACAATGTATTTATTTAAAAGATTCATTTTTAATCATGAAATTACTTATCATCCACATTGTTTTAAAAAGAAACAAGATGCTGGATGTCTGCCAATTTTTGCCTTCATTACCTTTTTTGATAAAGTTTCTCAGATCCTTGTTTCAAATACAAATGCAGGGATTGCTGCCACTTTTTTAAAATTAAGAGGCAGAAAATTGCACAATGTTGAACTTTTTTCCACTAAAGTAGTGTGCAGTTCTAGTTTGCATTCCTGATATGATTTAAAACATGTAATATAAAGATGTTAAAAAAAAAAATGAAGTACCAAAACTGTGCAAAGTCTAGAAGTTCTTTGTAATCTTCAGCTTGTGCACAATTCTGTTTTAGGGTTTTTTGTTTTTTGTTTTTTTAAAAGCATTGTTTGAACTGTCCCATCTCCACTGTTTTCCCTTTGGGGTTTTAAAATATAAATTATAAGTTTACATCATTTTTGTAACTACATTTTTCACAAATTTGTCTTGCCTTATTAAATTTCTGTAAAATATACTTAAATGGGGAAAAAAATGATGTTCACTTAGATTGAAAACTTTTCTCAGATGGATTGATAATTGCATTCATTTTGTGTTTTATATGAGAAGGTGCCTCAAGAATTCACTCTTGGATTTGTTTAAAGGATTTTTATCTTCTGTGATAAACTTTGCTGTGTACCAGGAAATATAAAAGCAAAAACTTGCTACTAAAGAAAATCTCTGAAATGTGAGACGTTCTTATGAGCCTGTGTTAATTTCATGTGTCAACTTCTACATTTATGTGTATTGTTTCATTCTGTAAAATGTTTTAGCAATTTAATATTTTGCACAGTTAGCAAGCTTTGTATGTCATTTCCTTCTTAAAGGCATCATGCAGAGTTGACAGGAGATTTCAAAGGTTTTAAGTTGTTTGCATGTGAATATCAAATACACACTTTGGTAGTCTTTGAATACAAAGTCATCTGCTCTTGTTTTTCAAGAATTTTGAGACACAAAGTTGTATGTAAAGGAATATATTAATTTGCCATTTTCTAGTTATATTTACTCAAAAAGAGTAAATTAACTTAATTTTAATACGTACAAATGATAGCTGTGAAACTGTAGAATATCCTATATCAGGCTTGGAGTTCGTTGTGCACTTCAAAATCAGCCTGAAGGACCAGCCGGGCAAAGCATTTTTTAAATGTTCAGAGGCCAAAAGATAAACAAAACAAAACAAAACAAAACAAAAACCTTAAAATCCTACCTCCTTAAACAGCCTTCAAAGAGGAGAATCCTCAGTGCAATCATTATTTTGATTCTTTTGGTACCTGTTTTCCTGGAGTTCCCAATTTTATTATTTTGGGGTGGCTCCGAGCATTAGGTTTAATCTTTGATGGCATTGTTCTAGTTTTGAAATTTCTAGTACATTTCAGAGTCTCTTAGAAGAGTTGTGGGAGATTTTTGTTTTGTTTTCAGTGAAAGTCACAAACTTTCTTCTTCCTTTACTCACAAGGGGGAAGAGTCCTCAGTATACATATTTGGATGGTTTGTTGTTTTTAAGACCTTCAGAGAGCTCCTAGCATTTAGCAACAGAAAAGGCCTGTGAAATCTTAAGTTTCCTGGCCTTGTCTCTTCCAGGTAGGAGCAAATGAAGCTGGTCTCTAAAGCCAATATTCATGTAAACCAGAGCCCAGGAAAGACAGCTCATAAGTGTTTAATTCTCTGGAGCTCAATTCTATGCAGTTGTACTGATGTTTCATTACGTACGTCACTGTGTATTTTTAAGTGTTGATACATTAAAAGTTGCTTTATGGAAGATGAGTAAATTTTTTAAATACTTGGGAATTTTATTTCCTTTTTAACGTCTACAGATCAGGACATGGGACCAGAAGCAGCTTAAATGAAATACTCAAAAAGTAAAATATCAGGAAGCTATTTTTAGATTCTTCTGGTTTATGTTTCTATTTTAAGACCCTTATTATTTTTCTTACTCAAAAATATTTTATTTCCTGTACATCTGTGGACTGCAGGGTAAATTATTTGGGCATAAGTAATTTAAGCAAAAGTATAGTTTTTCTTTCATTTTGACTTTCTCAAGTAACACTTTTTATTAGCCAGTATATTTTCTTATTGCACAAATTTTAAAGTGTACATTAACTACTTTTTGAGAAGAAACTGGTATTTCTCAAAAAAGTTACTACTGAACAAATTGACATTTCAGGAACATTGCTAACTTTGGTTTAAATCTTACTCCTAGTGTTAAAATCATTAAAAGATTTTTTAGTCTAAAAATAATACTGGTATTAGTATCAGGTAAGGAAATTAAAGTTTTAAAAATGGTTTCGTTCTCTGCAATATGCATTCAGATTTTACTATAAAATACATCTGGTACTGTAAAGAACCTGAAGTGATTCACACTTAATGGGTCGTTAATCCAGTATTCTTTGCCCTGACTGTTTGGATATTAAAGTTCCTTTATGTTTTCTATAACCTGTGGGATCTTCTTGCAGTGATTATTGTGTGTGAAAGATTTTTCTTTTTGGTCTAACCATATTGTTATATTCACTCAGGTATTTGTTAGATTTTTTTTTTAACCTTATTCCAGAAACCATGGTTTGCATTGGATTACTATTTAATACCACAAAGAATTGGCATTCTGTAGATTTAACTCATTATAAAACTAGGATCTCATTTTCCTTGTTGATACTATCTCCCTGTTGAAAATTAGTTCCACATTGTAGTTTTATTTTCCTGGTTTGTCCCTGTGCTTGCTCGTCTTCCTTTTTTATGTGTGTTAGAGTTCAGTTGACATACGAGAAGGTGGTTGGTAGGGACTAGATTATATACACAAAGAGTTAGGTTTGCTGTGGGGTGCTCTTGAGGTTGAAAATTGGAAAGTAAAGTGTGTTTGTAGGAATTAAAAAGCAAACCCTTTAGAGGCACCTGGCTGGCTCAGTTGGTAGAAAACATCCAACACTTGATCGTGGGGTTGTGAGCTCAAGTCCCACGTTGGGTGTAGAGACTACTTTAAAACAAACAAAAAACTTCTTTCAATGAAAAATAGTTCTAAAGACAAAATCGTTTTTTTGTGGGAGGTTTTTCCATTTTTTCCTGTCACTGCAATTTTGACTGTTGTGTTTAGAACTGCAAGAACCTACCTTCAAAACAACACATTTTATTTTATTTTATTTTTAAAGATTTTATTTATTTGTCAGAGAGAGAGAAGGAGAGAAAGCACGAGCAGGGGGAGTGGCAGGCAGAGGGAAAAGCAGGCTTCCTGCTGAGCAAGGAACCCGATGCGGGACTCAATCCCAGGACCCTGAGATCATGACCTGAGCTGAAGGCAGATGCTTAAACAACTGAGCCACCCAGGCGTCCCAAAAACAACACATTTTAATTTAGGAGGCTTAATAAAACATACATGAATGTGTCTAACTTGAATAGGATTTTATATTATGGCCTCTGATGTTGGAAGCAGCTGAAGTTCTGATAGTAATTCAACTAAAAAAGGAAAAAGTAGACATCCGTCTCAGGATTACTAGGCTAGGAATAGGGATTTAGTACAATTTTACTAATACCAGGGAAGTTAGATTCCTAGCTCCTTATCCTTGTCCAGTTCTAGGATTTGGAGGATGCTTACATGGAAAAAATAAACAACTTTAGAAAGAAAAGACAGATGCTGACATTTGAGGGTCCCCACCAAAAAGCCAGCTGGCCACCAATCCTCTTACAGTGGAGAATGCCAATCAGTAAGCCCTGTCCATGTACACAAGTCTTCCAAACAGGTGTTCAGTGCTTCACTTTTAAATAAAGACAGCTAAAGATCACCAGAAATTGGGCACCTGGGTGGCTCAGTCGGTTAAGCGTCTTCCTTCGGCTCAGGTCATGATCCCAGAGTCATGGGATCAAGCCCCACATCGGGCTCCCTGCTCAGTGGGAACCTTGCTTCTCCCTCTGCCCCTCCCCCTGCTCATGCTTTCTCTCTCAAATAAATAAAATCTTTAAAAAGAAAATCACCAGAAATTGAGGGTAATTGTGAAAGATCTAAACAAAAAGCAATTCTCAAGAATCCAACAAACTTCTAAGCATTGTAATATCCTCAGATATAAGAAGATACTCTAAGAAATTAGAACAGGATACTAATAAAATGTTAGAAGAAATTAAAATATGAATACATTCAGTGAGAATATTAAAAGACAAGGAAATGTTCTAGAACAGAAATCCAAAATGGAGGGGGAGGGGCACCTGGGTGGCTCAGTCGTTAAGCGTCTGCCTTCGGCTCAGGTCATGATCACAGGGTCCTGGGATCGAGCCCCGCATCGGGCTCCCTGCTCAGCGGGAAGCCTGCTTCTCTCTCCCACTCTCCCTGCTTGCTCGCTCGCTCTCTCTCAAATAAAATCTTAAAAAAAAAAAAAAAAAAATGGAGGGGGAAAATAAATTGGAATCAATTCAGGAGGTTTAAATACAACCAACAGGAGTTCCAGGAAGAGAACAGAGAAAATAAAGCAGTGGTTGAAATTTATTAGAAAATAAAATTTCCTTGATAAACTTGAGTCTCAAGATTGAAAAAAAGCTATTATTGAATTAGCACAATAAATATTAAAGACCCATGGAAAGGCACATCACCATGAAATTTTAGGACACCAGACATGAAGAGAATAAAATTTACCAGAGAGCAAAAGAATTGAGAATAATACTCAACAGCAACACTAGAAACTAGGGATCCGTGCGTGGGGTAGTGTCTTCAAAAGTTTGAATTATATATCCAATGATATTTTATACACACACATGCACTGCCATGGGTGAACATTGAATAAAGACATTTTTGGATGTGCAAATTCTCTTCCCTGAATTCACTGGTTCTCAGTTACTGGATAAGCTCCATAAAAATGAGAGCAAATCAAAAAATGTGTCTAGGAATGGGGTCCAACATGGGAGTCCTGGATAACAGTTGTGAAGCAACTTGGCAGCCAGTCTAGATTGATGGTCAGAGGGCTCAACTTGATCATCTGACAGGTTGGGCTATGTAGATAATTACAGAATGAGCCATTTTACAGGAGGGTGGACGATGTAAGAAGACTTTAATGTTGGAAGAAAATCAGGCAAGTGAGAAGAGGCAATTGTCGCGAAAAACATCCTAACGAAAAGGAAACATTCCCTTCCTGGGCCAAGTACATGTACTAAGGTATTTAAGAAGTTTTCTTGAATTACATTCGTAAATATTTGTAGTATTCCCCTGCTTAGAATATTGTTGGATATCCTCTGCCTATCATGTTTCTATCATTTGTTCTTAGTTCTTTTTATCTTTTTGTTTGCTTGTTCTCATTTCTAATCTCTGTTCTGTAACATGCTTCCTACGGTTTCCAGATTCACTTGTGCTCCTTTTAATTTAGTCTTTTTTTTTTCTAAGATCTGTTTCTTTTAGGGGCGCCTGGGTGGGCTCCGTTGGTTAAAAGGCTGCCTTCAGCTCAGGTCATGGTTCCGGGGTCTTGGGATCGAGCCCTGCATTGGGCTCCTTGCTTGGCGGGAAACCTGCTTCTCCCTCTCCCACTCCCCCTGCTTGTGTTCCCTTTCTCGCTGTTTCTCTTTCTCTGTCAATGAAATAAATAAAATCTTAAAAAAAAAAAAAGATTTATTTATTTTAGAGATCAAGAGTGAATGAATGAGGGGAGGGGCAGAGGGAGAGAGAATCCACAAGCAGACTTCCCACTGAGCATGGACCCTGATGTGGGGCTCCATCTCAGACCCTGAGATCATGACCTGAGCAGAAACCAGGAGTCGCCTGCTCAACTGACTGAGCCACTCAGGTGTCCCTGGTCTTCATTCATGAAATGGGTTTTGTCATTTTCTGTTTCCTAAGTTATTACCAATTTCTGTTTCACTTCAGGGACAAATCTTCCCTGAGTTCTTGTTTTTTTGTGTTTTTTTTTTTTTAATTTTAATTCCAGTAGAGTTAGTATACAGTGTTGTATTAGTTCTAGGTGTACAATATAGTGATTCCACAGTTCTGTGCATTACTAAGTGCTGATCAAGATAAGTTACTCTTAATCCCCATCACCTGTTTTCACCCATCAACCCACCCACCTCCCCTCTGGCAACCATCAGTTTGTTCTCTGTAGTTAAGAGTTTTTTTGGTTTGTCTTTTTATTTCTTCATTTGTTTTGTTTCTTAAATTCCACATATAAGTGAAATCACATATAAGTCAAATCATTTGTCTCTGACTTATTTCACTTAGTATTATACCCCAGATCCATCCATGTTTTTGCAAGTGGCAATATTTTATTCTTTTTCATGGCTGAGTAATAGTGTGTGTGTGTGTGTGTAAACCCCACATCTTTATCCATTCATCTGTTAATGGGCACTTGGGCTGTTGCCGTAATTTGGCTATTGCAGTTAATGTTGCAATAAACCTAGGAGGGCATATATATATATTTGGGAAAATATTTAGTAGTGAGATTACTGGATCATACGGTAATTCTATTTTTAATTTTTTGAGGAACCTCCATACTGTTTTCCACAGTGGCTGCACCAGTTTGCATTCCCACCAGCAGCGCATGAGGATTCCTTTTTTCTCCGCCTTCTCACCAACCCTTGTTTCCTGTGTTTTTTTATTTTTGCCATCCTGAGAGGTGTGAGGAATTCTTGTATTTCTTAGCTGCATTTGCTTCATTAGGTTGGTTTGATTCACATTAGAATGTTGGTGTATTATCCGCAGCTGCTTTGTGGGAACATTTTTCTTGTGTGTTTTCTCCAGGGAAACTCTAGGTAGTTTTGCTATTTCATATTTTTAGAGTATCTACACAGGTGTTGTGTTAATTCCTTTCTATTTATTTGTATTTGAAACCGTTAGGAGAATGAAGGAGAGGAACCCCATCCAGTTTTCTTACCTCCCTCCTCTGGCTACAATGAATTCTCTCTCTTGGGATGTGACTTTTTTTTTAAGATTTTATTTATTTGAGAGAGAGAGAACAGGGAATAGGACTGGTGGTGCGAACAGCAAAGGGAGAGAGAGAAGCAGGCTCCCTGCTGAGCAGGGAGCCTGACATGGGGCTCGATCCCAGAACCCCAGGATCATGACCTGAGCTGAAGGCAGACGCTTAACCGACTGAGCCACCCAGGCGCCCCAGGATGTGACCTTGCTCAGAAGTTCTATGTGGACTCTCATCTCCCTGGGTTCCTTCATCTGCTACATTAAGAGACCTAATTCCTGCCTTTCAAGGAGATCCCCTAACTTGCTTTCTGAAAGACCTCTGGAATCCCAGGCACTACACACCTCTTTCTTCCTTCCCTACCACTCCCAGCACTCACTTGTTCAGTCCTCACAGCAGGCTCCACGCAGAGTGTGGCTCTTCTCAGAATGAATATTAGCAGAGTGGGATCTGCCACCACCAGCCCACTCACCCCATTCTTCCCACAGTACACTCTGTTGGCCTCCCATCCAGTACCACTCAATGTGGAATTTGTAAGTTTTCTCTGCCTCCTTAGTGTCACCTAAGATAGTGTTTGTGGGGTCAGTGGTCATTATGTTTTCCTTGTTGCGCTCTATGGTTTCTAGGAGTGAAAAGATCCAGAACCAGGCTGCTAACATGTTTCTACAGAATCAGAACCCCAAAAGAATCTTTTAAACAAGTAAATCCAGGGGCGCCTCGGTGGCTCAGTCATTAAACGTCTGCCTTCGGTTCAGGTCATGATCCCAGGGTCCTGGCATC